TTATAGCTGGTTGTTTGAATAGTCCTATGTTATTTCAAAAACTGTAACCCTCACTGCCAACTATGTATGTAATTATTGCAGTTAATTTAAAAAAAAAAAAAAAGCCACAAAAGACTTCATTCCTGATGTAAAGGAAAAGATGTAATGCAATTAACTTTAAAAGCATAGGTATTTTTTCCACCTGCAATACTAATCAAATAGATTACAGTAGGAACTGATTTTGTTTAAAAAAAAAAAAATAAATCATGCATTTGGCATTTATACTTTTTTTTTACAGCAGTGGTAAATTTTTTTTGGCTTGTTTCTTCTAGTACTGTACACTTCTAGTAGTGTACACATTTGTTTCCAATATTTCTTCAATTTGGAAGAAATTGAGCAATGAGAAGTATAAACCTGAAGTTGATAGTGGAACAATTTGAAATTTTATCTTTTATTGTCTCATTTTTTGCTTGTACCATAGACTGCAAGTGTGCCTAAACGATGGATAACTTCTTATATTTGCAAGCATGTTGTTGAGAATGAATGCTAAAATGTGCATTAAAGCTTCTATTTCTTTGAAAATAAAATTACTTCCATACTTAGAAATTATGTAGCACTGCTTTGGGACTGACTTTACTAATCTCTTGCATGCACCTCATGCAAAAGGCAACAGTCATCGTTGTATTATCACTACCATCACTGTAGTGACTGCAAATGGTAAAATTTCTTTGATGTCGAATGCACTTTGAACACAATTACAAGTCTTTGTTTTATATTCATTAACCCTGTGTGCCAAAATTGGGAGTGCTGCCAACAGTTTGCTACCACAGAGGCCATCTGATGGGAGCAACATGCCTCAAGGACTAGCAGGAGGCTTCTAACAGCTGAGTGAAGATAAGCTACTCTAAAGAACTTCTTAAAAATATAAAGATAACAAAAGCCATTCATATAGGACATGGTCTGAACAGTTTTCTGTGTAGCATATGCTTTCTGAATGTTCCCACATAGATCATCACCTTGACCAGGACCTTTTTCAATTGCCCTAGTTACATCAATATCCTTTTGATAATACTTATTCACTTTTTCAGCAATTGCTTCTCATGCAAAACAAGACAGGAAAACACCATGCCCTGAAAATAAAAAAAATTATAGGAGGTAAGTGGTGGCTTGAACTTGATGATAACAAATAAAGGAACCAGCTAACATCACTTTATAAACAAAATTCAAAAATATAGTCAATAAAAGGAGCTGATCATAAGGAAATGTTCTAAAGGGGGGTGGGAGGCAAATGGCCAAGCTCTTCTCAGTGGTGTGTAAAGATAATACAAGGATAGGAAGTTCCATCCCAACATGTGGAAGAACCTCTTTATGGTAAGGGTGATGGAGCATGGAACAGGTTGCCCAGAGAGGTTGTGGAGTCTCTTTCTACAGAGATGTTCAAGACCCATCTAAACAGCTACCTGTGTGCCCTATTGGAAATTACCTGCTTTAGCAGGGGGATTGGACTCTATGATCTGCAATTTTGTGACTACCCCTCCTCCAGACATAAATATTATAAATTAAAACTCAAGAGATTGCAAGGGAAAAAAAAACAGACTCTTTCTAGTTTGCCAGACACTGTGACTAGTGAGCTACAAATTTCTTCTTCAGTAAAAGCTTGTTTTGATCACTTAAGAACAACAGCTGTAAGAAATAGTGGAAATACATGATAGAATGTAAAGCTAAGCAGTTAGCCTATATTTCTCAAGTCACAGGATATCATACCCTTAACTCCTACATCTCAGCTACTATTGCTTGAATGTTCCAAGGTTCACAATAAAACTACGAAAGTTGGCACAATGGCTCATAAAACATACATGCCAAAGAATGCAGGTTTGGACTGGGATGCATATGTGAAACACAGCCTGTTTCTCACATTTGCTTGATACATAAAACACTTGACGAATGAAATCCTGTTTTCCTATGCAATATTCTCCTTGGTGCTGTGCAAGCATTAGCACATTATATATATTATTATCTGAACAGATATAGGAACTAACATTCACTATCAATTATTAATGGATATGACCTAACATTTTATTAAATAAAAATCAAAAGAGAATTACATTTTCATAATCACACCCACCTTGAAACAACAACAAAAAAAATCATTTAACAGCACAGATAATTAGCATAGACAAAGACCATTTTTCTTGTCTTGATTCACACATTAGAAAATGGACAGCATTAACTCTAGCAAAGAGAGTTAGGCATAGAATCAACTCGGAATTTCATTCAGACACCATCTTTGCTAAAGCAGAAATATACTCAAGACAAATTCAACTCTTCACAAATATCCTGTGATGTTGCAATAGGAGAAAAATCAGGTGAGCTGTAGTCTCCTTCCTTAAAGAATAACCAGGAGATACTGCAAGCAAAGCCACCTGCTTGTCATAAAAAGAGGACAAGAAAAATTACTTAAGAAATAAAGGATACTAAACTGGATTTTTTTTCCTAAAATGACAGAACAGAAAACCAATGGGTACCAGAAACATAAGTATATATACACAAAGAAATAGTAAAAATGTAGAAAATACTGAACAAAATCCAAGGAAGAAAAGTAATGAAAGAACAACATTTTTTAAACAAATCAGCCTGTAATTCAAAGACTGCTCTTCACTCTGCCTTAACTTCTATGTCTGTAAGTAACAGCATCTTCAAATCTGCCCATAGGATCTTCTAAGCAGAGAGATCTAGAACCCTGATTCTAGAATGAGGATTTTGCAATAACAAGATCTGAGTGAGTCCAAATCCAATACACACCACTGAGAAGTGACAGGTGGAATTAGATGGAATTTATTATTAGATGGAATTGTTAAAGACTGGATGGGTATTTTTTGCACTATTAGTGGCCTATTCATTTACACTGAAAATTGCTGAAAAAAAATTCAACCTATCCTTACTGTAGCTGCAGAGTCACAATGTTAAACCATATAATTGTTGCTCTGATATTTCCCTTTAAAATATTTCAGAGTCTCCCCAGAAGTTTGTATCTACTATTCCTTCATCAATTTACATGAGAAGTACCTCTTCAGACAAGCTATATCACTAGATCTTTCAAAGAGTCTTCCTATGCACAAAATGTGGGAAATTCATTTTCTACAATCCATGAAGACTTCCCATGTAGAGACCATTTGAGACTTAGGCTATCCCATGTCTCCATCATATTAAAAAAAATGAAGCTGGTGAAATTATCTGAAACCACTCACACATACACACACAAATCTACCAGTATTTGCCTTCTTCAGAGTTGTTTTGCTCTTAGGTCACTTACATTAGAAGGACTGTGTTCCAAACTAAGTTAGCTGAGCTATTCAGATACGTGAAGTTATGGTTCCATAATTAATTGCACACATTATAGAAACTTTTGAAATATAATTTCTTGTCTTCCTTTTATGTGGAAGATATTCAGCACTCATTCTCAAGTATGATATCCAAAGTCAGTAATCATGGAAGAAAAGCGGAGAGAGCTGTCTTTAAAAGTAAGAAGGGAATCATTCAAGCATGTTATTCACAAATTTAATATATACAAATAAAAGCCTTACTACTTTCATTGAACTACTTCTCAGTTTCCTGTTTCCTTTAAATATCAGTCTACCCCCTCAGCATTGAAGACCACCTTTCATATCATGGTTCATCTAGGGAGAGTCAAGGCAATATTTCACTGTCTCAATTGGTGTGCATTTAAGTTTATGGCTCCATTCCTGCAAGGGAAGCTGCAAGCATGTCTTTCATTGCTATTTGATATGTAACTGGAGACACAGGTGGATGTCACTATGGTGACACGAGTGGTTATTATAGAGACCACAGAATCGGGAATGGATGCCTTGACAAGGCATCCACATTCCTCAGTTTACTGAAAGCTGTTTGAGGGGAAAGGAAGAATAATCTTAGTAAGATTTCTTCTTTGCTTAACAGTTCAGGCTGGCATCTGAGAGGAAAAAAAAAAAAAAAAAAAAAAAAAAAAGAAAAAAAGCTCTCTCGAAACATTATTTTTCTGTTTAGTTTTCTTATTCATCTCTGATTTGAAAAGCAGCGGTGTGCCTGCATAAGTGTGGCATGCCTGCGGGATGAAGAGATCACCGTCCCTCCCAGGAGCACCAGAGCACACTTTGGTCTCCAGAATATGAAAAGGTCTGTGTTAGGGCCGTGTCCCACCTCCAGTGTCTTGTAGGGGTCACTTCAACAACCACAGTGCCAGAGCACAGAGATCTGCGTGGGCACAGAGAAACCCTTTTCTCTCAGGACAAGGTTATCAATGCCCCACTCAAGAGAGATTTCAAGGACGCTGTGTCCCCATTGTGCGAGCAGAGGTCGTATAAAAATAACGCTGGAGGAGCGTTCTCCCGGCTCTGGTACCAGTCACGGGGAGAGCTGGGCGCAGAGCCTCTAAGCAAAGCCAGCGATGTTCGGAGATGATGAACCAGCGCCGCCGAGTTCGGAGCGGCCCGGCCCACGCCAGGCAGAGCCATAGCGCAGGGTCCCAGCGGACCCCTCCCCGAGATCACCCCCAGCACAGCTGTGACGTCACCGCTCCCCTCGGGGCCGCAGCCGCCAAGTGACGCCCAGTCAGGCACGCTGCTCCAGCCTCGCTGCCGCGCCTCCCGCCCACGTCTCCCGGCGGAGCTGCCCCGAGGCGGGGGCGGCCCTGGCGGCAACGGGAGGTGCGGCAACGCCCGGGATGCGGCCTCGGCTCGGCCCCGCCACCCGCCTCCCCTCCCGCTGTCAGCGCCCGGCGGCCGCATGGGCACGGCGAGGCGTGCGGCGCCTCCCTGCAGCGGCTGCTTCGGGACCAGTGGGCAGCGCCTGCGAGGGGCGGCGTCCGTCCGTCCATCCGTCCGTCCATCCATCCGTCCGTCCATCCCTGCGTGGGTGGCGGCTCGTGTGCGTGTGTGTGACTGACACTGAGGCGCGCACAGCGCGGGAGCAGCAGCGCTCCCGCCCGCAGCGAACGGGGCTGGAGGGTGGGGGGGACGCCGGCGCGCCCCGGCTGCGGCAGCCCCGTCTCCGTCCCCCGGAGCCCTCCCCGATGGGGGCGACCTCAGCGGCCTCGCTGCTCCTCCTCCTCCCTCCTGGCGGGTAGGTTACGTTACCTGGTCTCTAGCTCGGGCTGGATCTAATCCCGCGGCCGCCGCCGGCTTCTCTCGCTGCCGCGGGGGTGAGCGGGGCTATGAATTTATTTATTCCCCATGAGGCAGCCTTGGCAGCAGAGCCGTGCCAGGACAGCCCGGGCTGGGCGGCGGGGAGGGAGGCCCGGGTGCTGCTGCGGGGCCGACGGGGCGCCGCTGTCCCGGGGGTGCTGCGGGGGAACGGCCGAGGCGCTTCAGCACCGGCGCGGCGGGGCGGGGGCTGCGGAGGAGACGCCTCCCGGGTTGCCCAACCCGGCTCCGCGGGGCCGGCGGGGGCGCGGCGCCCGGCCCGGAGACGACGAGCCAGCGAGAAAGGCAGCGCCCGGCCCCCGCCCGGCCCCGCGCTCGTGGGGTGTCACGCTCCTCACCTCGGCTCTGCCAGGACGGGTCGTGTCCGTCCTTCCGTCCCACCCCTCTGTCCTCCTCAGCGGGACACGGGGCGCCGAGTGTTTCGCATCATGTGGCTGTTTGCACTCGATGGCCGTTCCACACAAAGGTTACGGCAAGGCACGCCAAGCTTATGTCAAGAAAAAATGACAGCGATCTTTGTGTGCAGAACGGGAGAACATCACCTTCTCAAACAGCAAATCTGGCTGTGAGGAATGAGTTCTTGATTAAAGTCGTGGATCTCTCTCCCTTTTCCCTACCTCCACACTTCCCAGAAAAATTCAGGAACTGTTTTGTATACATGCCATGAACATATTTATAGAACAGCCATTAAATTATCCCAAAATTCTGTCCTTGAGGCTAAAATCCTATGGGGAGAATGATGGAACATGGAACATAATCACATAATTAAACCCTTTACCATAAATGCCTATTCTCATGGGTAACATTTCATGTCATATGCAACATTTTAAGTAATCTGAAAAAAAAGTAGTTACAGTTGCTGACATCATGTTGCAAAATATGTACAAAAAGTAATTGTGAATACCATGTAATTTTTATTATTTTATAACTTTAATGCATGCAGATTGTTTGGTACGAGCTTTACAAACAGGACCTTCACAGGCATTTTAAGAACTGGGGATAGATCTTTATAGATATGAGAAGTTGGGCTTTAGTTGAGAATATTCAGCTTGTTGAGCTGCTGTTGAGCAATAAAGGGACTTGATAGGCTTGTCTATCTCCTGCTAATAGTGTTTTTATCCCTTAGCTGGCTTCAGCCAAAATGAACAATGGCCTTACAAAAATACTCTGGAAAGGAGCAGGACACCCCAGAAAAGGCTGCAGCGGTAATATCTACTATGCATCAAAGAATTCAGGCACAGAGGACATCTTGAAGCACAGGTGCATAGAAATCAGATTTCTTTGTTACAACTACTTATTTGCTCTGCTTGATTTTATGTGAGATTTTTTTTCTGTTTAAAATTTATATTAAATAAGAAGAGAGACTCAGCAGCATAACAGCCTATCTTATAATTCCTTCTTTCTCTAAGATATTATTGTTAAAATATGTCTATCATCAGTTTCCACTGGAAGTTCTTTAGCTTCAGAAGGAGGGAGTAATTTATCACGTGCTTGTAAAGCAGCCAGCTTGCCTTTCCTGGGCAGATCCTGGCACAACAGTTGTTTAAGAAGCAGTAAGTAGTTCACTGAGTAACACAGAAAATGCTTTCATTTCTGAAACAAACAATTTGGAGCCATTTTTGTGGTGTCATATAAGCTCAGAATAATTGAGTTACTTGCCTATGTCCGGGGTCATTTTTGGGAATAAACATCCACAGTGAATGCCAGTGCAGTTCATGAAACTCACAGCTGTATTAACGCAGGTAGCAGTGTCAGTCATCTCTTGAGCAAGTGTATGATGGAAACTGTGCCCAGAATACCCACGATCACAGGGTCTATTCTGGCATCAGGTCATACTACAGGCTTTGAGAGACAAAAAAAAAAAAAAAAAAAAAAAATGAGAGAGGCCCGCTACACGAAGCATTAACTCCTGGGTATACAAGCAAGGATATAAGTCCTGGGTGTACAAAGACTTTGGTACAAATGCCATGCTCAAACTCATGGTCCCTTCCAGGCAGGCCCACAACTACAAGACCTCAGGTGTTTAAATTAGGATCTTCTGGGCTGCTATTGCTGAAATACAGATTTTAAACTTGGCATTGTGTTAGTGGTAAGCTGTCTTCTGTATTGAAACACCTTGTGTGCCCTGAAGAAAATTGTAGGCCATAGAGGACCTCATATAGTATGTGTAAAATGCAGAAAAACATGGATACATTACCTTTTTCAATGAAGTATCCACTTCACATACAGCTTTGCAGAATGTCAAAAAAGTGGTTTTCAAATGGAGCTGAAACAGGAAATGCATGAAAATAAATGGTGATGTTTTTTCACTTTATAGTTCTATTTCCTCTAGTTTGCCTTAATTTTTATGAATACATAGCTGTATAAATGTAAGTATAGGTTTTCTTTATGCATAAATGTATGCAATATATGTTCTGTACAATAAATTTTACACAGTGATATGTTTAAATCACAGATTATATTTGCTGTACTAGTGCTAGTACACATTATGTAGTATGATATATAACACAGTGAAAATGGATGTATTCTATGTATATATAATAAGTATTTACATATTGACATGTCTATATAGAAATAGTAGAAAACATTAGAATATTTACTGTTACAGAATACTACCCATATTCCATGTATGTATTTATGTGCCCCAAGCAGTTTGCATGCCTCTTTTCGGAGCAGCCTCTCTAGGAAAGGTCCGTGCATCTTAATTTACCTATTGTTGCTGTACGCTTGATCACATTTCTGTAGTCTGAGGCAGAGACTGAACACAAGCTAACTGCAATTAAAGCAGTGTGTGATTCTGGCCCACAGCCTGCACAAGTTTGGATACAGCTCAGTGTCCTGCTTAATGTGACAAAAAGCTGCAGTTTGCCCTTAGACTAAATGTTGAAGTATGATTTTATTTTTTATGCAGCTCCTGTTTTCACCGGCACCAAGTTTTTAAAGCAAGTGCTCCCCTCTGAGTGCTACAGGAGGGCTCTGAAGTGAGTAAGGTCCCTGATGTAGATAAAAAAAGCTCTGTCACTGTCCTACACCCTTCCAGCCTCTGAGAACCTTCAGTGTAGGCAGCCCATTATTCAAAGTAAGAATGTTCACAACCACACTCTAAGGGTAAGAATTAAAAATGTATTAGTGATAGTGATTAATAATTCAAGTGTGAATTTCAAGAAGCTAGCAAAGATTCCAAGCACTGTATACACATGTGTTTGTCTATGTGTGGAGGGTGATGTTGTCTGTGTATGTTTCAGTGATCTATTTGAAAAAATAAAGTAAAATTACCTACGTATTGTGTATGTGAAAAGAAGTTACATATTTGGTTGGTTATTCATTCCACATCCATTTGACAGTGAGATAGACTTTGGGAGACTGCATCTTATGTACTCTCCCCTCTGAATTCATAACAACTTGAGATCCTTTTAGTGATTTTATTGGAATTTGTTTTTAAGAAATATTTTTCTCTGGAGAAAGAAAAAAATTAATGCTGCTGATATTGAATACTTGATATTATCTATGTGAATCTATCAAATAATCATTTGGGTAAGTCTTCTACTGGATTAGCCTATTTACCCCCATTACCACTTGTCCTGCAGTTTCATTTGAATGCAAAATTTTAGTTCCCTCTGCTATCTCACCAGTTATGTCTTCTAATCACAGTCCAGACCTAAAGGGTCTTAGTGTCACCGTTCTTGGTGTCACTAGTGTTTGTATGATTACAACATGATTACACGCTTTTTCTAACTGATTTTTGCTCCATGCACACACTGTTCAAACTGCTTTCATGCATGGGCAAGCTGGCATGGCTCTTGTGCTCATTTCCAGCAAATACTCAGCGTAGTCATTAAAACCATATTGGTAATTCACCTCAGCCACCTTCTGTAAGCTTTATATCAACCACTAGTCATTGTCAGCCTGCGTCCCATTGCATCCTCACTCATGAACACAGAAAGCCCATCCACTAACATAAAATTTTAATCCTAGTTTTGCTATGTGAATCCTAGTTTTGCTATGCTATTGTGAAACAGATAGATGCACTTCATTTTGTGTATGTGTGAAAAATTCGACTAGAATTAGATACTGCAGAATTCTAATGATAAAATATAGCCAAAGTACATCTTTCTGCTGAGATCAGTTTTCTTTATAAGCATCAAACACATCTATTCAAGGCCCAATAAAATTCTTTTCTTTTACAGCTCCTGGGGATAGAGAACACAGCACATTGTAACAACAGCAATAGACTCAGCCGTGAGAGATCTTTATCAGGCATCACAAAGAATTTGAGGCAGCTGGCAGTTATCAGCTGAAACAGGTAGTCACTAGAAGTATAGAAGATAAATAGATAATAGAAAAGCAATCTGGAAACCTGGGAGAGATAATAAACCACTCTTCTAGAGGGGAGGTAACAACTTAGGTAGGTCACTGATGAACTCAACTCCCAGATCACTACTGTGTGTAATACTGCTGAAAATACAGCTGCAGTTTACTGCTCGTGCTTGTCAGGTCTCTTGTAGTGTTCAAAATGTTGTTGGAAACACAGTTTGACATATTCAGTTACATAAATCACTATCACAGGGAAGTGAAGAAGGCTCCTGCAGCTGAAAAAAGCTGACCACAATCCTAGGGGCACCGTGACCCTCTGTTAAATTACAGTTGCTAGACTAGGAAGCTACTTATTCTACTTGCTGTTGTCTATACTGCCAGTGTAATCATTACATAATGTTCCTGTTATGTCTATCATAGTCTTCTGTGGAGCATATGATTTCTTTTTTTTTTGTAATTTCTTGTCATCTAGAAATACCTTTTCTACCATTATGCTTATCCTAATACAAGCACAGAGAAGAGAGAGAAAGAAAAGAGTCATACAGACACCAAGGTTGGAGAACACTTCAAAGATCACCCAGTCCAACCATCCACCTATCACCAATATTTACCCAATAACCACGTCTCTCAGTACAATGTTTAAATGGTTCTTGAACATCTCCAGGGGCAGTAACCTCACCAGCTCCCTGGACAGTTCTTTCCAGTGCCTGACCACTCTTTCAGAGAAGACATTTTTATTAATATCCAATCTGACACAACTTGAGGTCATCCTATCTAGTCCTATCACTAGTGGGACCTCATCACAACCTCCTTTCAGGTAGCTGTAGAGAGTGATAAGGTCACTCCTGAGCCTCCTCTTCTCCAGACTGAACAATTCCAGATCCTTCAGCTGCTTCTGATAAAACTTGTGCTCCAGATCTTTCACAGCTTTGTTGTCCTTCTCTGGGCATGCTCCAGAACCTCAATGTCTTTCTTGTAGTGGGAGGTCCAAAACTGAAAACAGCACTCAAAGTGTAGCCTCATCAGTGCTGAGTACAGAGGAAATATGATACTTTTAGTAGACATTTATTAAAACAGACAAAACATCTTTCACTCTAAAGCACTCTTACAATTCCCAAGTTCTTACTTGTTAAGAAGTGAAATCTTGCATGAACACACAAGGAAAATGATACCATTTTATAACTCTTCTTACTGTTTTCTGTGATTCTGTAGAACAACAGAGGGAGATAACATCAGGATATATTGATTTGCCAAAGAAGCCACAGAATAGAAATTCTGTGTAATAGAAAGAATATAGAATAGAAAGAATGTAGAATAGAAAGGACATCTTTCTACCAAATAAATACTGAAGTTATTCAACTGACATATTTCTTGATGATTTCTTGACATCTTTCATGTGATTCTATGATTCTATGATTTCTTGAGTTAGTTAACTCTTTCATGTGGACTGCATAAGGTAGCTGATGTCAATGGATCAGAACCAGAAAAAAAAAAAGGGCAGGAGGAGAGGGAGGAGGGAAAGAAAGATTTGCTCAGTTTGCTTAAAAAGATGCTTAAATAAAACTTGTTTGTACCACAGAAACTAGAAATCATTCCATACATTTACAATGAAAGACCAAAAAACAAGTCAAATTCGTCAAATGTTTCCAGAGTGCTAGCTACCAATATTAAAGTAAGTTCTAATTTTCTTTAGGAATGCAACATACTTTCACAACCCATTAACAAAATTTAAATGTGCTGATTATGTAAATAATTTGTGGCCCTAAAAACTAACCAAATTGCATGTTTTTAGTGCACTATTTTAATGTGTTTCTTCTGCTGAACATGAATTAATTGTGTGCTTCTGTAAATTTCAGCTCTAAGTGGTGATTGCTTAGAATACTTTGTCATTTTTTATCTCACTCAATGGCTGCTAAAATAATAATGTAAATGAAATAATATAATGATGAACTTTCAAAACTTACAAGTCTAATGCTTCAATCTTTCTCTGTGCTATGATCCAGATTGAAGAGGAAAAATTGCCTTTTTTTTTTTTTTTTTTTTTTTGACAGACTATGCAGCTATCCGAGGTGGAGCCATCTCTGTAGGAGATATAAATAGAGAAAAGTCTTAGAGTCTCCTGTTCATATTCCCTAATTGTGCATAAAAAGGGTCATCCTTCATTAGCTTGTGGTGGTCAAAAGTGAATTCAGTGCTCTGAAGATGAAGAGATGAAGATGCCTGTTCTGCATAGGTACATGAACTAACTGTTCAAACAAACACCATGGTGTAGTGTACCCAGAGACACTTGCTGTCCTGCCAGTGGAAAATGAAAGGCATCCCACTTAGATATTCTTTATTTCCTCTTTGAGGAATTTAACCCACTGACTGTGTGATGGCTGGGATATCTAAAGGAACAAGTCTGAATCATCCTGTCAGGTAGATGTTTTAACACTGGCAGCTACCACAGTCTGAATATTACCCTGAATAATATCAATAGGTTGGTCTGTAGAAATATAACACTTTTCTCAAGCTAACATGAAAAATCAGAACCTATTGACTGTGCAATTAATTTTCCATACTTTCCTTCATTGCGTTGAAAGCATTGGACTATATGTTCAAAAACATGCGTGAAGAGCTTTTAGTTATTGTCTTTATGTCTTGGTAAAATTAAGCTTTATTTTGCAGCTCTCCTCTGGGATAGTAACATTTTACCAGAGTGTGTAAAACCTAACAGTAAATATTATGTTTTAATGAGTGTTTTTGCGTGGTTCAGAAATAAAACTCCTCAACATATCTTGTATTTTATTCTTTACCGATTACATCAAAAATATAGTTGTGCAATTTATTGTCTCCAGGTAGTTTCTGTCATTCCTGTGTAGAGCTACAGTAGACAATCCTGTATAAGAACTTATAATTTATAGAAATTTATTTTTCCAATGGGTCATGAGACTGAGATATTTTCTGTTATCTTGGGATTGCATTGCTAAGTCACAAAATCAGTAATAAATTATTTTTTCATATTACCATTTTACTGTCAGTCCTTTTCTCATTGCCAGTAATACACATCTTGGGATATGAAATTATGATATCTTGCAGTAGCCACTTCCCATCAAACAACATGAATTCTTCAGCAGTTTTTAGTGGTGTAGGAAGAGACTCCAATGAAGATTAAGACATCTCTAGGCATCTGTATGGAAGTGCTCTAGTGTAAGCTGTATATATAAACTTCTGTTCTAGACAGTAGTGTTAATAAAGTCCATGGAGCCAAGTCAGGACCTCATCAGCTAATGAACTGCCTTGTATGTATTTCAGAGTGATCTGGGATTTGTGCTAATTGAACACACATTGAAAAAATATGACATCATATAAGATAGGCTGCTAATTTTGTATCTCACATGTTCAGCATTTTACATATTTTGCTTCTTGATGCTTCCAGAAATTGGAGAAGATACTCCTCTGTAATCATTAAATTTCTGAGAAAAGCAATAAAAATATCTCTCTTATTTTTTTCTTTCTCTGAGTTAAGTTGGGATTTCACAAAATTATTATTATTTTTTTTTTTCATTTGCTGTAGTTTGTGCAAATTGCATGACAGAATACTGTAAACTGAGTACACGATATAAAGGCAGTCTTTGGTAAACATCAGCATGCTTGTATCATTGTTTATCAGTGTAATGTCAGCTCTTCATTTTTGGGGCTGTTTAGTTAAGGTACATTAAGATATTAACAGGATTATTTGAGTTGTTTCTATGTGATACTGAAAGACTGCATTGATGCAGAAATTGCTCTGAATTTTGTGTCTGAGTGCCTTTCTTACCTGTTCCATGTGAATAAAACACTTTCTTGTAAACAGAGATTTTATTTTCCTTGTTAGTGATTGTATATATCAGGGAAGGGAAATTATTTTTCTCTTAGTCTAAAGATTTTTACTTTGTATAGCACCTCCAACTCATTTTCTTCAGAATGTCGGACTGATCTGAAGGATCAGCAGCTAATACACCATAGAACAGGTTTGAATCCAACCATCAAATAAAAATGGAAAGCAATTGCAAAGGACACAATCCAATTTATCATAGGACTAAGGTTACATAGGGTAGCTACTGACCCAGGACAGCTATGGAGACATAGCCTAGACAGCTGCAGAGCAGTGGCAGCCAGCCAGTGTTCCTGAACAGATGAAGATGAAGCCAAAAGGAGGAGGACTTAAATCTCTGACACTAGCTGCTCTAATACAGAACAAACAAGCCTTGTAGGAACCTTTTATACTCTGACCAGAATTACAGCAGCTAGTTGGAAGCAAAGTCCTTGGATACTCTTGTACAACTTTTAAAATAACCAAAGTATTAAAAAATATTACCTTTTGGGACATATTTAGATCTGAAAATATTTTATGCTAGGTATATAATAAATAATCTTCAATCATCAATATTTTATGTACTGAGTCATTAAAAAAGGGCATGGTTTCACACATCTCAGTTATGCAAAGATGATCCAAGCTATTCTTTTTTAGGCTAGAAATTAAGATCTTTGAGCCTAGAGATATCATTTTTAATTTCAAAATTAGCCCATTCTTCACAATAGCACACTGTATTTTGCGTACTTCAATTGTTCTTTGAACAAAACAGCACATAAAGCCCCAGTTTCTTTCACTACATTCGAAGATATGATCTACAAGCTATACCCAACTCCTGAAGGCTTGAAAAGGCTACACTGCTTATCTTATTTATAAGGCATATTAATGAAAGTAGTTGCAGAACCTAACACAAAAGCCATCTGAAAAATAGGCAATTAAATAGCTCAAACTAAGTAGTGCAGTAGAAAAAGACCTCTTCTTGAAGTGTATAGTTTTTTGTGCACAGTTCTCTGTAGGACGTACT